TCGCAAATTTGTCAACTCAGTTGGAAATACGTGATTTTGCAACGAAAACTACCAAATTCGTTCAAACGTGATTGAACGTGGCCACGCGAGCGCTGAAACAGCAGAACCGCATTGAAAATAATTGATTCGTGAGCAAAATCATTCGATCGCTCGCGATTGCAGCAAATAGTGTTAATATAGTTCGTTCCGCAGGCAAGAACAGCTATCCTTACAGATCAGACTGGCACCAGCCTCCCAGGCTTCAAAAGAATCCACGGGCATTAAAACATGAGCATTTCTGCTTCGCTGGGGCTGTCCACTATCTGGCCCGGAAGCCTCCAAAGCCAATGTTTAGGGTGCAATCGGGCGAGAGGCGATTTGCTGATCAGCGCCAGGACTTGTCCACCTTGAGCTTTCTGTGTTTTCGAGTGTTTGGGTTCCGGACCCTCTGGGTGCCTGAAACGAGAGAGTTCTGTGGTGGGTTCACTTCCGATTTCCGCCATATCGGCCCAGGCCCCCAGCCCCCGGGGGCCCCTGGGCCCCTGGGCCTGGGGCCCCGCCCAGGCTGCCGCAGGCTGAGGCTGTCTAGGCTTATCATTCTTCTGAGTCCTGAGCTGCTGCCCCCTGCCTCCATTTAGGGACTTACTTAGGACTCCTCAGGCCTCAGCCCTCAGCCTCAGGAGCTTATTCTCAGGAGCAGCTGAGCTGGTGGTGCCCCCATCCCCACTCCATCCCCCCACTTAGGGACTTAGGGTTCGTTCCCCCTTGAGCTCGGGGCTTTGCCTCCACATCTTTCTGTCCTTCATAAGCTTTCTGACCAATCGGGCATCGGGCATCAGGCCTGAGGCCGCCTGAGGCCTGGGGATGTTCTGACTTCTGACATCGGCAGATCGGCAGGCGCATGTTCTTACGTATGCGTATGGCGGCGGCTTACGCAGTCGCATCTCATATTACGCGTCAGCCGCTTACCCTTAACATGCATTGCACTTATAATTCCACGCGTCGATGCATGTGCACATGTGCGCAACATGCACAGGCTAACAGCTGCACTTGTGATTTGCAACTTACTTGCAAGGTCGCACTACCCACCACTGTGATCATGCTGCGTGATAGCTACATGTATACATGCATTAGCTACACACATCTGCGTCGTTCATGCAAACCAGCTATATGCAGCAGCGTGGTCATGCAGCCTTCATGCGAATGAGCTATGCATATACAGTGTGCCCATGCGTATACGATGGTTCTTGGGGTTTGACTCTGGGCCCCCTTGGCTGTGATTTGCTCGAGTGCCATATTTGGGCAAGCAGCGCCTCAGCGGGCGCCGTGGCCTTGGCGGCCAGGGCCTTCTTCCTTCGGGCCCAGTCAGCGGCGGCCGCCTCCTCCAGGCTCCAGGCTCGCGTCGCGATGGCTCCCAAGTTCGCATTCCAGAAGAGGGTGAAGCCGCTTGTTGCAAAACGTGGAGTTCTCAAGAAACCTGCAGCACCATGGCAGGGCGTGGGATCGCGGGCCTGGGTTGCTGCCAGGCTCGCCAGGGACGGCAGCCGATATGCAGGGCCGTGCGACTTCCAAGACTTCGGGAATTGGCCACAATTGATCGTGAGGGCCATCTTCCCAATAGTTGGTGGCGGCGACATCGTCAAAGCTCGTTTGGACCGCTTCGTGAATCTCCACGTCCACGGCCACGTCGTCCACTCGTACTACTCCGGGATGCTGACCGAGGTCGCCGCGCTCAGGGCCATCGGTCGCGTCCTCCACGAGCGCGACGCCCTTCCAGAACCGTCTCAATGGTTAGTGGTGTGGAACGGCTGCGACAACAACAAGACGTGCCAGCAGATCGCGCAGGACTCAGCCAAGGGGCCTTTGCATTTCTGGCCATCGTTGCAGGCGGTGATCCCTGAGTCCTGCAGGGAGGCCATCAAGCGCATGCGGCCCGCCAAGCAGGATTCATACGACAAGAGGGCCAAGATGTTCCAGGATATGCGAGCCCACATTCGCCGAAACAAGGGGAAGTGGTTCGACAGGAGCTGCCACGTAGACTGCAGTATTCATGGTAAGAAGTGCCCGTTGGCATGGGAAGACGAAGAGCCTGCTGAGTCTGATCTTCGCCCGCTTACGGCGATCTTCGGGGGCTTCAACTGCCAGCCATTCTGCCCAGCAGGCTTGAGAAATTCGGGTGCCCACGACGCGTCGGAGCCGTACGCCATCTTCGAGAACCTGTGCGACCAGATCAAGACTGACTTCGTCCACTGCGAGAACTCGAACCTTTTCGACGTGGAGGTCGCCAAGAAAGACTTCGGCAAGAACCGCTGGCTTCGCTACGTGCGGGTCTCGCCCGAGGAGCGCTTGGTAGCTTCGCAAAATCATTTCCTCCCGCCGACCAACTACCTCCCATTCAGTTTTGTCTTGGCGTCGGTTCCTCCTGCCTCCTTCCACAGTCTCTCCCTGGAGATCCTCCCGTTCGGCTACCATTATTCCTGCGCTATCATCCTCCTCATCAACAACATCTGTCCCCCCTCCTCCCTTCTCCTCCTCCTCCTCCTCCTCCGCCTTGTCTTGAAACTCTCCCTTGGCCTCCTCCTCATTCTCCCCTCTATCCCACTCCTTCTCCTTCTCCTTCTCCTTCTCCTTCTCCTCCTCCGCTCCCTTCTGCATCAGCCTTCGCCTCAGCCCTCCTCCTGCTCATGATTCTCATTCGATGGGCCGAGGGGCCGAGGGGTCATAGTTTTTTTCCTCGCTCTGCCAGGCCAGGTTCGCTGTCCATTCCCTATTCCAGGAGATCGGTTGGCCTGAGCATCGGCAAAGGCTCTTCTTCACTGGCGGCCTCAACGACACGACTGTCTGCCTTCTCCCGGACGACCCATCGGAGGTCAAGCAGCAATTCTTGGAGGTGTTTGGCGGCGTCCCGCGCACGGACGGCGGGGGCTGAATCTGCACTGCCCCTCCAGTTAACGCAACGACGATGATGGCAATGACGGCAATGATGTTGGCGAGAACGACGAAGACGACGATGACGACCACGTTGGTTCGGGGGTGGGCAGAGCCCCCAACAATGACGCGTCGATTAGTGAATCGTCCGTTTTCGGTTCTCGAGATGGCGCCGTGGCCGTTATTTTCCAGGCTTGCGCCCGCCAGGTTTGGGCCTCAGGTCGTTTTCGCTAAACCACGTTTTATTGAAGGGGGGTCTGTCCATCCCCGAGTTGGTGGTCGGTTGTTTTTTTGAAACAGACGGGCGTGTTCTTAGTCCTGCGGCCTGCGGCCCGTCTAGTTTTCGTCTTTGGGCGTCGCCTCCTTAAGTTTCCCCTGGCGCCGAAAGCGAACCCTGGGCCCCGGGCCGAGCCGCTCGCGAGTGCGACCCGCCGTCTTTGGATCAAACCCACGAGGACGCGTCCATCCTGGTCGGGAAAGACAGCGTCGAGAAGACGTTGGCAGCCCGCGTGAACTTCAAGCAGAGCAAGCAATGTCAGCTCGGCGATGGCATCATTGAGCACTTGACTGGCACCAAGAAGTACCGCATGCAGAAGTATATGGAACTGGTAAATCGGCACACAGGCGTCAATTCCGATTCGGTATGCGTGGACCTGTCCCAGAATCCTGACGCAAGGTGCGTTGCCATGCCGTACTTGCCGAGCGCATCGACTAACCACGAGCTGATCGCGATCGGCGGGCCCGAGGACAAGAAGTGCCACGTGTTCACGCATGGTGAGCTGAGCTACGCCCGCGGCTGGCCTAGCATCGTGCATGACGGGAACGCTCGGATGAAAGATGACATCGGGATCGCTTTCGAACCGGAGGGGATGTCCATCAACCAGGCCCGCCGTCTCCATGGCAACGCTATTCACTTGCCAGTTCTGTCGGCCTGGTACCTGTTCGTCATGAGCCACTGCGTCCGCAGAAGCATCATCCTGGAGTTCATGCCAGATCAGGGCACGCACTGGAAGATCCTCATGGGCGTTGCTGATGCGATGGCGCTGGGCCCCCTTGTCGAGCAGCGAGCGCTTCGCCAATCGCCATCGCCGACGGCACGTAGGATGCTTCCTGCACCGGAGCGCTAGCCGCATTCAGGGGGCCCAGGCTCGTGCGCCAGCCGCGCGACGACGGACAGATACCCGTCGAACGTCGCGATCTGCCAGGCGAATGGCGTGTTCGCCGCGCGCTCTCCAGGCGCGCTTTACATTAGCTGGGCATTTCATTTGTTTTATGCAGTCTTGGGAGTCGACGGCGTCGGGCCGAAGACTCTGCGCCAGGGCGGCCCTGGCGCTGGCGCTGGCCCTTGCAGGGCCAGAGTTTGCCGCTTCGCAATGCACCGAGGAGAGTACTAAGAGAGTAGCATGCGCGCTTGAGTCAAGCGCGCAGCGGCGCTTGAGAACAAGTGAGACGACGGAATATTGTAGGATAGTGAAAAGTGAGATGATGAGGAGGAGGGCAGAAGGAAGGAGTGATTTTCTTCAGAAGCATAAAGCTTCCTCGCGATATGAATCAATAAGAATCAATGGAACTCGATAAGAACATGCGGGGAGTCCTGGGGACCGCGCCGCTGACAGAATATAAACATGTAGCTGTTTATACCCGACAGCTCCGCTGACGGAAAAACAAGCACCTAGCTGTTTATACCCGACAACTCCGCTGACGGGAGGAGGAGGAGGAGGAGGAGGAGGAGGAGGAGGAGGAGGAGGGAGGGGGGAATGAGGAAAACGACAGCACGATAACTGCCACGCCTGGAAAGCCCAGCCCGCCCAACGACGAGACAGAGAGGTTCGCAAAATGCCCTCCCCCCCCCGGGGCCAGTGGCATCGGCCACGCGGCGGGGGCAGAGAACAGACCGACCCTTTCTAGGGAGGTGCGGTGGGGAAAAGAGAAGAGGAAGGGGGGAGGGCGAGGAGAAGGAGGAGGAGGAGACAAGTGAAACCAGATGCCGAAGGATACGAAACCAGATACCGATGCTTCCGAGGATCATGCCCTTTCTACCTCCATCTATCTCTCTCTCTCCCCCTTTGGGCGCCCGCTCCCGCCTGCCGAAGGGCCCCGAAGGGGCTTCAGCAGCGCCGCCAGCGCCGAGGCGCCGCGGCGGGAGCGCCCATCCTGGAGGCCGGGGAGGCTCAGGCTCAGGGCTTCGCGCCTAGCTGACCCCCTTTCCGAGCCCCCCCTCAGCCCCCGTCCCCTCATATCCTTCTCCGCTCTCTTCTCCTCTCCTCCCCCCGTTCGGAAGAAACTCGACCCAGGGAAACGCGCAAAACCCGGGAAACCACACCGCGAACCCAGAACCGACAAAAACCCGAACCCGAGAAACGACGCACACACGGACCCGAGAACCCAGAGCCACGACCCAGAGACACCCGACCCACGCCAACAGGGGAAACCCAGACACGCACGTCGAGATGCTGAAGACACGCCTTCTCCTCCTACTCCTCCTCCTCTCCTACCCCTCCTCCTCCTCCTTCGGGAGGAGGGGGAGCCTTCGGGAGGAGGGGGGGGGGGGGAAGGCGGAGGTGGAAGGGGGGTGGGCCATGCCGCCGCTGCCGGCATGCTCTCTGGCATGGTGATGTTTTCGTCGTCGTCGTCGACGCCGAAAACACCAAGGACCAGATTTTTTGAAACAGCTGGCTCAAAAGATTTGGTCGCTCCGTCGTCGTCGTCGTCCGTCGTCGTCGTCGTCGCCGCCCAAGACATCACCAAGGACCAAATCTTTTGAAACAGCTGGTTCAAAAGATTTGGTCGCTCCGTCGTCGTCGTCAGTCGTCCGTCGTCCGTTGTCGTCGTCGTCGTCTTCGTCGTCGTCGTCGTCGTCGCCGTCGTTGTCGTCGTCGTCGCTGCTGCCGAAAACACCGCCAAGGACCAAATCTTTTGAAACAGCTGGTTCAAAAGATTTGGTCGCTCCGTCGTCGTCGTCGTCGTCGTCGTCGTCGTCGTCCGTCGTCGTCGTCGCCGCCGAAGAAATCACCAAGGACCAAATCTTTTGACGCAGTTGGTTCAAAAGATTTGGTCGCTCCGTCGTCGTGGTCGTCGTCGTCCGTCGTCGTCGCCGTCGTCGGAGCCGTCGGGGTCGGGGTCGGAGTCGGAGTCGGCGCCGGAGTCGCCGTAGTCCGTCGTCGCGTCGTCGTCGTCGGAGTCGTCGTCGGAGTCGTCGTCGTCGTCGCCGTCGTCGTCGTCGTCGTCGTCGTCGTCGTCGACGCCGAAAACATCACCAAGGACCAGATCTTTTGAAACAGCTGGCTCAAAAGATTTGGTCGCTCCGTCGTCGTCGTCGTCGTCCGTCGTCGTCGCCGTCGCCGCCCAAGACATCACCAAGGACCAAATCTTTTGAAACAGTTCTGGTTCAAAAGATTTGGTCGCTCCGTCGTCGTCGTCAGTCGTCCGTCGTCCGTTGTCGTCGTCGTCGTCTTCGTCGTCGTCGTCGTCGTCGTCGCCGTCGTTGTCGTCGTCGTCGCTGCTGCCGAAAACACCACCAAGGACCAAATCTTTTGAAACAGCTGGTTCAAAAGATTTGGTCGCTCGTCGTCGTCGTCGTCGTCGTCGTCGTCGTCCGTCGTCGTCGTCGCCGCCGAAGACATCACCAAGGACCAAATCTTTTGACACAGTTGGTTCAAAAGATTTGGTCGCTCCGTCGTCGTGGTCGTCGTCGTCCGTCGTCGTCGCCGTCGTCGGAGCCGTCGGGGTCGGGGTCGGAGTCGGAGTCGGCGCCGGAGTCGCCGTAGTCCGTCGTCGCCGTCGTCGTCGTCGGAGTCGTCGTCGGAGTCGTCGTCGTCGTCGCCGTCGCCGTCGTCGTCGTCGTCGTCGTCGTCGTCGTCGACGCCGAAAACATCACCAAGGACCAGATCTTTTGAAACAGCTGGCTCAAAAGATTTGGTCGCTCCGTCGTCGTCGTCGTCCGTCGTCGTCGTCGTCGCCGCCCAAGACATCACCAAGGACCAAATCTTTTGAAACAGCTGGTTCAAAAGATTTGGTCGCTCCGTCGTCGTCGTCAGTCGTCCGTCGTCCGTTGTCGTCGTCGTCGTCTTCGTCGTCGTCGTCGTCGTCGCCGTCGTTGTCGTCGTCGGCGTTGCTGCCGAAAACACCGCCAATGACCAAATCTTTTGAAACAGCTGGTTCAAAAGAATTGGTCGCTCCGTCGTCGTCGTCGTGGTCGTCGTCGTCGTCGTCGTCCGTCGTCGTCGTCGCCGCCAAAGACATCACCAAGGACCAAATCTTTTGACACAGTTGGTTCAAAAGATTTGGTCGCTCCGTCGTCGTGGTCGTCGTCGTCCGTCGTCGTCGCCGTCGTCGGAGCCGTCGGGGTCGGGGTCGGAGTCGGAGTCGGCGCCGGAGTCGCCGTAGTCCGTCGTCGCCGTCGTCGTCGTCGTCGGAGTCGTCGTCGGAGTCGTCGTCGTCGTCGCCGTCGCCGTCGTCGTCGTCGTCGTCGTCGTCGTCGACGCCGAAAACATCACCAAGGACCAGATCTTTTGAAACAGCTGGCTCAAAAGATTTGGTCGCTCCGTCGTCGTCGTCGTCGTCCGTCGTCGTCGTCGTCGCCGCCCAAGACATCACCAAGGACCAAATCTTTTGAAACAGCTGGTTCAAAAGATTTGGTCGCTCCGTCGTCGTCGTCAGTCGTCCGTCGTCCGTTCGTCGTCGTCGTCGTCGTCGTCGTCGTCGTCGTCGCCGTCGTTGTCGTCGTCGTCGCTGCTGCCGAAAACACCACCAAGGACCAAATCTTTTGAAACAGCTGGTTCAAAAGATTTGGTCGCTCCGTCGTCGTCGTCGTCGTCGTCGTCGTCGTCGTCGTCGTCCGTCGTCGTCGTCGCCGCCGAAGACATCACCAAGGACCAAATCTTTTGACACAGTTGGTTCAAAAGATTTGGTCGCTCCGTCGTCGCGGTCGTCGTCGTCCGTCGTCGTCGCCGTCGTCGGAGCCGTCGGGGTCGGGGTCGGAGTCGGAGTCGGCGCCGGAGTCGCCGTAGTCCGTCGTCGTCGTCCGTCGTCGTCGTCGGAGTCGTCGTCGGAGTCGTCGTCGTCGTCGCCGTCGCCGTCGTCGTCGTCGTCGTCGTTGTCGTCGTCGTCGTCGTTTCATCGTCGGACTTCGAATTTAGTGGTGTCGTGGTCTTCGCCGTTGTCGTTCTTGTTTTAGCGGTCGTCGTCGCGGTCGTCGCCGCGGGCGGGCGGGCGGGCGGGCGAGGAGGCGGAGGAGGACGAGGAGGAGGAGGAGGAACAGGAGGACGAGGAGGAAGAGGACGAGGAGGAGGAGGAGGACAGGAGCAGGACAGGAGGAGGATTAGGATGGCCCTGCTTACGGTTTCCCCGGGCCGCGCGTTCCGGGAATCCCTGGGTCGTCGCTCGCGCGTTCCTGGGCTCGCGCCTTCCGCGTTTCCTGGGCTCGCGCCTCCCGTTTCCTGGGTTCGCGCCCCTCGTTTCCCCGGGTCGTCTTCCATCCCCCCCGTTCCTCCGCTCCACATGTATTAAGACTGGCACTATATTTGCATCGCTTGGTTTCTTGATGAGTCAAGGCTTTGGATTCGAGCGCCTCGCTCTGAAGTTGAACGCCATCGATTCGAGTTGTGAGTGTTTCGCTTTTGTGTAAGTTGGTAGCCAGTCTGGCGGCTGGCGGCTGCGTTCTTGCGCGCGTGCACCTCTCGTTTTCTGACGCTGAACGGATCGCGATGACAGTTTCGCCGCTTGACCTCGAGAGCCCTGCGACCACCGCTGCCTTGACCGCGTTCGGTCCCCCTTGAGCCCTGCGCGGGTCCCCTCCAGAAACAAGTGCACCCGACCATCGAACCGTAATTTGCCCTCCTCTTGGGCCCCTCTCGGGGTCCTCTGGGGCCCCTTGCAGGGTTCTCTCTAGCCCCTCGCGGCCCGAAACACATGCCCACAAACGAAGCGTTGCTCGCTCTCTCCATGGGCCTCTCAGATTGGGGCTCCTGGGGGCTCTCCTGGGAGGCCGAAGGGGCTTCGGCTTCGGGTTGCCCCTCCCTTGGACCCCCCGCCGACCCACCTTGGGCCTCCGCGCCCTTGGCCCCTTGGCGCATGCTTGAACATTGAGAACAGCTCGAGATGGGGAGAGGGGGGGGGGAAGGGCCTTTTTCACTTCAGGCTTTGCGGTGCGCTCCCAGCCCCAAGGAGGCTTAGCGAGCATCGCGAGGGCTCGCGACGGGCTCGAGAGAAGCGGGAGAGGAGGGACCTAGGGGGGGCGCTCAAGGCGGCTCCAAGACAGCACCAAGATTGCAGAACCGCTCAGTCATCCTGGGCCCTTTGGGGCGTTCTTAGAACCCTCTTGGGGGTTCCCCTCAGAGCTGTTTGAAGGGCCGAAGACGGCCAGCGGCGCCGGGGGGCGGGCCACGTTGGGCCCGATAGCAAGAACATCTCGAACCATGTATGCCAGGGTGCCGCCCTCCTTCTGCCTTCACTCCTCTTCCGCCCCCCCTCGTTTCGGCTTTTGGTGAACCGACCCCTGAACTGCCGAAACTCTCTTCTCAGCCTCTCGCTTTTTCATCTCTGATTCCTTCCCGAGGGCCTCGGCAGCGTCGCCAGCGCCGCCAATGGCCAACGGCGCAGCACGGCGCGCATCCTGGGCCTGAAGGGAGGCGCCACCGCCGCCGCGACGTCGTCGTCGTCGTCGGCATCATGCATCGGCAACCTCAGCATCATATGCAGCACCTCGGCAACCTCACCTCGGCAACCTCGGCCTCGTGCTCCAGCCGCATCAACGGCGGCATCATTAGAGCAGCAGTATCATGTGCTGCAGTAGGTTGAGCCTACTGCGGCGATCGTAACGATGTTGGTGAACCTACTAGGTTCACCAACATCGCTACGATCGCCGTCGCCGTCATCATCAAGCAACGAAACCAGTGGCAGCGCCGCGGCATCGTCCGCATAATTCGCAGTCTGAGCACCAGCGCAATATGCATAACACAAACAATGCTCAGAGGAGGGAGGGTCAGGAGAGGGAGGAGGAAGGAGAGAAAGAGGAAAGGGGAGGAGGGAGAAGAGCAACGCCCAAATGGCCACTATGAAGGTTGATGTTGGCCTCGTTTCGTCTATGAGCAAAGGGCATGGCAGCGTCGCCCGCTGGATTTGTCGAACTCACCCTCGGTTCATGATGGCGCCTTTCTCAGGGCCCCAGGGCCGTGTCGACGTCCAAAACAAGTTTGTGCGCAAGCGCATGGGTCTCACGAAGGGTATAGTTCACCGTGGGGTCAGCTTTGAGACCATCGGCCCAATCGGGGCTTGTTCTGATATCCTCTCGGAGACTCTGAGGCCCTATCCGTTGCCATGTTTGCATTTCGCTCGAATCTCATTGCGACCGCCAACTGGGGCGCGCCGAGCGGCGATCCCCCCTGAGCGTCCCTGCGTGGTGCGTCTGTATCTTCTCAGCGGTTGCTGTTGCCACCATGGGCGACGAAGCTATGTTTTCTTTCGACATGCCCGACGCCGCGGCGACGGCGGGCCCGAGCACGCCCGCAAAAGGCATTGACCACTTTGGCCCCGAGCATTCGCCATTGCCACTGCCCAGCCCCAGCCCCAGCCCCGACGGGTCACGCAGCGCCTCGCCTGCCTTCTCGACCAAGCTGAACTTGCAGCTGGAAGTCAACAAGAGGAGGGCCCCCCCCAGCTGCGGCGAGACATCTGATGGTTCGACGAGTGGGCGCAAGAAAGTTCCGAAGACGTGCTCTGTTGATGGGATTGAGATCAAAGGGAACAAGCGATATTGCGAAGTCCACAGCAGGGCCCAAGAGAACGTGAGGAGGCGAGCTCTTCAAGGATGCGACATGGCCAAGGGCGTCATCACGGCACAATGGGAGGCCTATCTTACGATATTTGGCGACAAGAAGCAGGCTAAGAAATACCCTGGCGATCCCGAGGCAGCGGACAAGGTCGTGGCCGAGTACGTCCGCCTGTACCCCGAGAGCGAGACCGGAGGGAGGACGGGCAAGGCTCGCGGGGAGGTGGACCTGACCCAGTTCGTCCACGCTAAGGGCGTCAAGAAGGAGAAGACCGACATGAGCGACCGCTGCAAGTGGGACCGGGAGTTTTTCATTACGCAGATGAAACGAAATCGAGATTGGATGCAGGCCAAGGCCGAGGCCAAGTGGGACGAGATCGTCGCCGATGCTGCCAATTTCGCTGATAACAATGGCCCCGATCCTAAGCGCCCAGAGCGATGCTACATCCCGTCCAACCTCACTGGGTCTGACAGGGAGCGAAGCGGCGTGACAGAGTACGAATCAAAGGAGATGAAGTCGAGTGGCAAAGCCGTCAAGAACATGAAGGACGATGTGAAGGCTGGCTTGGTGGAGGAGACCAAGCGGGGCTTCTCGCAGATGGCCGGGGTGTCGGCCGCCGATGCAAGCGCGCCTCTGCCGAAGGCGGCTCGCGCCAGCGGCAACGCCGTTTCTGACGTGGAGGATATGCTGCTCTCAGCGGTTGGGAAGTCCAAGTCGGCGGCGCCCCCAGCTCCTGAGGATGGAGAAAGCGTGCGTGATCCAGCCGAACCCCGTGACGGTGCACCCGGTGGCTCCACTGGCGGCGGCGGGGAGACCAGAGGCGTCGATGTCCGCGTGCAGAGGAACGCTCTCTGCAGGAAGATCTTGACCAAAGCATACCCCCTGAAGGAGACTGCTCTCAACAAATGGATCGATGCTGCTACTCTTTTGTTGCAGGAGTGGGTGTCCAACAAGGATGCCGCGGAGTACGAGGCAGCGCTCGACAGGTTCGATTTCGTCAAGGCCTTGTTCGGCGAGGTCAGGCAGTCCACAGACCTGAGTGGGCCCAAACCTTTCATCACGGTCAAGGTTGAGGACCTCGGCCATGCACCCCTCGCGCTTCACAGCACCTGGCAGGGCCCGACGCTTCAGGAGAAGGCATGCTCGGGTTACAAGTTCCAGAACTTGCTACACTTGAGCAGTCATCTCTTGGTTGAGGGGCCTGCCCGGCGTCGGAGCGCGTCGGGCGCGCGTGACGCCTCGGAGGATAAGAGCGCCCTGTCGGACGATGCGGAGAAGGAGCAGAAGGACCTGGCCGAGCAACAATCTCGTCTGCAGCGTTTGGCAGCCTCGTCGGACATACCTGTGCCCAGCTTGCCAGAGATCAAGCTACTCAGCTACAAACATGACTTGTACAAGCGATGCCAAGCGGCGCTGACAGAGCAGGTCATCAGTGAAGTACACGCCGAAATGGAAGTGCAAATGAACTTGATTCAAAGCTTGCTGTATTATTGCAAGACGACCCTGGCAGACTGCAAGAAGGCCATGAACCTCAAGAAGAAGGAGGATGATTCCGCTCGCAAGGCCGCCGAGGATGCGGCGAGGCAGGAGGCTGCGGACCGCGCAGCCGCAGAGGAAGCCATGTCGTTGGAAGACCGATACTTGCTCCAGACTCGAGGTGTCACGCCTTTCGGCTTCGAGGCGGATCACCTCATCAACATGGCGCTCCACTCCTCCCCAGAGGATGCGCTCAACTACCTCCAGGGGCAGGTGGGCGTCGCTGCCCCGATGATCGTCGAGTGCAAGGATGTGTTTGACGACTTGCCGTTGCTGCAGAAGGTCATGCCCCAGTGGGATGGAGCCATGGTGAAGCAGGCTACGAGAACGGGATGCGCTACTGTGACAGCGAGCCTGGGCGAGAAGATGGGGCTCAAGGAGTTGCAGGCTCTGGTCCAGAAGGTTTTGCCCGCGACCGCCTTGCTGGAGAACCCGCCCTCGGCGCTGCAGAATTTCCTGAACGAAGGATGCGCGTTGGGATGTATAGAGGCGCTCGGATTCGAGCGTTCAGGAGGGAGCGGAGGAGGGGGGACTAAGGGCGAGGAGGGATGGAGGAAGGGATGGAGGAGGGGATAATAAGGGCGAGGAGGGAGTTGGGAGGGATGGGGGATGGAGGAAGGAAGGGGGCGATAGTTCAGGAGAGAAAGAGAGAACGCTGGAGAGATATCGAGGGGGAAACAAGAGAGAGAGAGAGAGAGATAGAGAGAGAGAGAGAGAGAGGGAGAGAGACAGAGAGAGAGAGAGAGAGAGAGAAATAGAGAGAGATAACAACAACAAAATACAGAGAAAGAGTGATAACATGAGATAGCGTGAAAACAGACACAAGGGGTCAGAACGAGGGTCTAATACCTCTGCCCTCAATACCCTGTCGCCGCCCCCATCCTCGTGCATCTTCCTCTTTACGCCACTCCGCGTCGGAGAGTGCTGCTTTGCCCTTCCCTCCTCCTGGATGGCCCCCTGGCGCCGATATTTGGATATCGTTCGGAATCCCAGGTTGTGGGCCAGAACCAGGTTCTGGCCCAGTGCGGGTTCTGGTTCTGGGCCAGAACCAGGTTCTGGCCCAGCACTCGACCCCTGGTTCTGGGCCAGAACCAAGGGTCGAGTGCTCTGTCTTTTAGCCCATCCCGCGCAGGAGCCCTCTTCGGACAATTGCCCACGCATGTGACCGTCGATTTCACTGATCGTTTCGTTGGCTCCTTCAGGCTCTGCGTCGACGGCGGTGCGATGGTGGTCGCTGTGAGCTGCGATGAATTCACTGGTATCACCGCGAACGGTGAACAGCTGAGCACTGCGGAGGCTATGAAGCAAGCCGTTGCCGATTTTTTAAAAGACAGCGCCCACCTTCAAGATGATGAAGCAAGGGCCAAGTATATGAGCACTGTGCCTTTCAATGTCCACTTTGGCGCGGTGGACGTTCGCCAGGCATTGATCATTCCACCTGGTTGGGTGGTTGCGATCGTTTCGCCGCGTGCTTCCGAGAAGCGCTGGTTGGGTGCTTCGGCAAGCTTCCTTGATCAAATTGCCTTCGGCTTCCTGCTCCGCCGACCCCAGCTGTGGTCACGAACTCGTCTGCATCCCCCATCCCCCTTCCTATTCCTCCCTCCTTCTGCCGCGGGTGACGCAAACGTCGAAAAGGCATCTGAACCGTCATAGTTCCGCGATTGGCTCCACCTCTCCCTCGCTCCCAGGCTTTCATTTCCCCTCGTTGAGCCTTCGCTCCCGCCTCTGCCGCCGCCTCGTCGTCATACTTGTTTGTCCTCGCTCCTGCCGCTCCTGCCGTTCCCTCGATCGTCTCTTCAACCCCCTCCTCCTCGGTCGCCTTCGATCGCCGATAATTTTTTCGCCCCGATCTCTCTGGGATTCCAGGGTCCCGCGGATAAGTCTGCCAAGTCCAAGGCGAATTTGAAAGCTTTGAGTGCTGCCAGCTCTGGGGCTGCCACCAAGGCCGCTCTGAATGCCATGGTCGATGCCTTCCCTCGGCTGGACGGCGCGCCAGCGTCCCCGTATTGTGAGGTGCCTGAGGCGCCCGCTGATGCGCCGCCGCCCCCGCCGCCCTCTGAGCCTGTTGCTGCGCCGCCGTCCTCGAAGGAGGAGGAAGTGCCTGCGGCGCCGCCGTCTGCGCCAGTGCCCCAGAAGGGTGAGGCCACGGCCGAGGCTGAGAAGTCCGAGTCCCCGAAGGGTGAGGTGCCTGAGGCGGCGGCGCTGCCAGCGGGCCCGGCGGCGCAGTCGGAGCCCGCCGCGCAGTCGGAGCCCCGGGCGAGCGCAGCTGCGGCTCCAGCTGCGCCGCAGGGCAAGGCGACGCCGAAAGCCAAGGTGGGCCCAGGGCCCAAGGCAAAGGCTAAGGCGAACGTGCTGCAGGCTCTGGGCGCCTCGGCCAGCGCCGATGCATAG